CGACCATTAATTGTACAGTGGTTACATACGCTTCAGGTTACATACGCTTCAGGTTACAGACTCCGCTAACCCAGAAATAGTACCTCGGGTTAAGAACTTTGCTTCAGGATGAGAACAGAAATCGTGCTCTGGCGGCGCGGCAGCAGCAGGAGGCCCCATTAGCTAAAGCGGTGCTTCAGGTTAAGAACAGTTTCAGGTTAAGAACGGACCTCCGGAACGAATTAAGTACTTAATCCGAGGTACCACTGTATTTTTGTTGCTTCTTTTATTTCTTATAGATTGTATTTATTGTATGCTGTAGAATCCAAACTGTAATACAATGAAGCACAATATAAGGAATAATAGAAGCAAAAATCAGACTGATCTAGTAAATTAGATCGGTAGTTGGGATCCTTTTGTGGGTCTCCCTTGAGAGAGGTGGTGGACTCTCCTTCCTTGGAGGTTTTTAAGCAGAGTTGGATGGCCATCTGTCATGGATGATCTAGTCAAGATTCCTGCAGTACAGAGGGTTGGGCTAGATGACCCTTGGGGTCCCTTCCAACTCTACAATTCTGTGACTCTATAATTCTATTTGATGAGCCAACATGACAGTGATGAGGGACTGAGGATTGGAGTGATCATTCTGTGATACTATGGCGGTGCACAAAGCTGCATTGTAACTTTTGAATAAATGTGTTTTAATTAAAACAAATAAATTGGTACAGCTGTTTATTGCAATGGGTGTGCCATGTCTGATCTTCAACCACACATCCACAAGCACATTGTAGACCACCTGGATGTAGCAGTGGTTTGTGGACCATAATTTTGAGAACTGCTGCCCTGCATCTATTTGCTGTAGCATTGACAGTTTACACTGGGCTTAGGTGACTTCCGCATACTGGTCAAACACAGCCGGGCAGCTAGCAATAAACTGAACCGAAGCTCCCTATGTGGACCTGTGGGATTGTTCAAAGGTTAAAGGTTAAGCAAAACAACTTTGGCATCTTGTGCAATTGGGCATTGTATAATACGACTGAGAATTTAGCAACAATGAGCGCTCCTAGCACAGGCAGCGAACTGGAGCTTACCTGGCGAGTATTTTCCATCAGTGGAAACTATAGTGCATTTGAAATAGCTGCAATTTAGATGGCCTCGCGTACCAGCTACTAATGCGCTTATATTGTATCTCTTGTAGTTTTCAACAAACATTTGAAGTTTTGACTGATCCGCTTTGGGTTGTTGCCTGCTAAATCCTATCAACAAGGTTGCGTGTACAAAACAAGCTCCCTTTACTCCTGGGTAAGTACTCAATGATGCCTTGAGATTTATATTCCTTTTTGAGATTACTGTGTTGATACATATGGTATAATATGCATTGCTGCCACAGCAAGTAATGAAAGTTGTGGGCATTTACAGAAAGGGAACTGATTGTGTCAGGAGCCCTAGATCAAAGAATAGGCCAGGGATGGGGAACTGGGGGCCATTCAGATGTTGCTACAGTTCCCGTTCTCCATGGCCAATGGCCATGCTGGAAGAGGCTGATGGGAGTTGTAGTCCAGCAAGGGCTGGATCGCTTGGTTGGTTGCAGCGTGGTGCTGATAGTGCCAAGGTTGCAGGTTCGATCCCCATAAGGGACAGCTGCATATTCCTGTGTTGCAGGTGATTCTCAGGGTCCCTTAAACTCTATGATTCTATGAAAACATCTGGAAAGGAAAACATCTGGAAGGTCACAGGTTTCCCACCCCTGGAGTAGGTGGTGATGCTATCAGCAGGAAGCAGACTGAGGAGGCTGTTTGTTTTAGGTTTTCTTCAAAAATTCCTAAGCTGTTCCCAGCCAACATTTCAGGAAAATTAGTTGATGGGTGTTGTAGGACAAAGTCAGGTGCCAAGCACCCCAGATCTGTGATTCTACTCTCCATGGTCTGCTATTCTATGGAGGCAACTGGTCTGTTCTCATTAGCAAGCAAATAAGTCAAAGGAATGTGTCTTCTTGCCTCTTGCTCAATTTTGTACCCATTGACACTAGGTAGAGGAACTGTTCTAACTAGATATGCTTATGGCTGTGGCCTTTTCTGATTCTGGGACATTTGCTTGTCCAAGTCAAATAAATGAACAGGAGTGGCACTTAGATAATAGTAACAATCTTTTTTTTGTTGGCATCTGTCCTGTAAACGAAAATAAAAGCTATGGAGGGTGGGCTGTATAGGCAGCCTAAGATAAATACTTTTGCAGTCAAGAGTTCTCATTCTGTGTTAATAATCCATGGATAAAATTTAATTTATTTGGGTTTGGCCTAATTGGAAGTAATAAAGAATGAACACCCATCTGGGTCTACCTATCAATGGCCTGTGTATACTCAGATGTAACACCAAACTGTGGTTTGGGCGTTACATCAAGGGTAGGGAACCTTTGGCCTGCAGGTTTTGCGGAAATACAACTCCGCATCACCCCTGACCATTCACCATGCCTGCCGGGGATGAATGGAGTTGTAGTTCAAAAAACAATCTGGCAGTTTCTAAGGTTCTCCAGTCCCGTGTTACAATGGCACAAGCAGAGTCCCCGAGAGCCTCAGGCGCACATGTTCCCTCATCCTCCTCCCTTCACAAGCTGCAGTTTCTAAACTGACTTCTTGTTTGTTGGCAGCCAGTTTGTTGTTGCGTTCAAAGGTGGCAATTTCTGGTTTGCTGTATTCATTGTTTACTCTTAAACCAGGATGCCAGACAACAGTTTGACACTGGTTTGAGAGGCTGATTGAAGAGGCAAATTATGGTTTGGGTATACCAGATTTTGCCACCTTTTGCTGCAACAGCAAACCATGGTTTTCCAAGGAGCTTTCTCTGTGTTTTCCTTTATTCTAAACATGCGTAGGATTCTTGTAGTATTCTTCCATTTCCCCCTACTATATTGCTCCTTCAGCAAGCCGTTGCTTCTCCTTTTTTACCTTTCATGATTGATTTCACCAGTTCTCGTGGCTTCTTAATTGCATGCCGCCTCTGGCAGGCCCACACTTACCTAAATAAATTGTTTGGGCATTAGTCAGAAGCATGGAAAACTTGAAGTAGCCCTGAGCACCAGTGGATAATTACGGATAGAGAGATGACGCAGTCGGCAGGTGAAGAGGTATTTCTCCTGGCTTTACAGTGGCCCTAAGTGGCTGTTGCTTCCTCTTTCCCTTGGGAGTCGGTTCACAGGAATTACTTTGCAAGTGGGTCTGCAGTTGGAGGCCCTTGCATTTGTCTTCTACAGTGGCCGGAGCACAGTTGCTAGAAGGAAGGAGTGACCAAGGAAGACCTAGGACTCGTGTTAGGGTCTCAGTTATGATGCTAATTTAGGAGGCCTTAATGAACGCACCAGGGACGCGGGTGGCGCTGTGGGTTAAACCACAGAGCGCCGTGACCGACTCATGGGGCTCCAGCACTCATCTCGCTTTATTGGCCGAGGGAGCCGGCGTACAGCTCCGGGTCGATGTGGCCAGCAACTAAGCCACTTCTGGCGAACCAGAGCAGCGCATGGAAACACCATTTACCTTCCGCTGGAGCGGTACCTATTTATCTACTTGCACTTTGACGGCTTTCAACTGCTAGGTTGGCAGGAGCAGGGACGCGAGACGGGAATCACCCGTTGGGGATCGACCGCTGGCTTCTAACGGCAAGTC